TGGATGCGAATGGGATCGGTGGGACAGGGACACGTGTGGAGAGGATCCTCCGCTCGGGATGACGATGTCGAATGAGTGGTGCATGTTTATTTTTCATCGGATTTCTATAACTTGTGTTCGAAAATTGCGAGTAATGCAAGGTTCGGCGATGGATATAGGGCCTGCTCTGCGCCTGAGAATCGCGCACTTCAACGGCACGTTTCGTGCTAATTCCCCTCCACGGTATACGTCTAGGAATCAAAATGTGTTTGAAAAACGAACTATGCATTTTCGTCCGTCCCTCATCTACCAATCTCCTCAAAATCCACCCCCCAACTCCACCAACCACCCACTCTCCCTCGCTAACTGTATCGAATTCGGGCGCTCGGCAGGATCAATACGCAGGCACCTCCCCATGAGATCGATCGCGCCGTCCACATCGTGCTCCTCCATCCCCAGCGCGCGCGCCTTCTCTCTAAAGCTGTGAGCGAAATGCGCCGGGGGATAGCGCTCCAGTACAGAAAGGGGTATGGCGAAGTCAGGTGGGAGCTCATCCCCAGTGGATGCGCGCATTTGCGCGAGGTGGTGCTGATCGGCTTCTGCGGGGTCAATGTCGGGAGGATGGGAGAAGAGGGGCACGCCGAGGAGGAATTCGTAAACCTGCAACGGATGAGTATTACAGATTTTTTTAATAAGGGGGGAAGAGGGAAAAGAACGAACGAGGCAGCCGAACGTCCAGATATCGACTTGGATGTCCCATTGACGGCGCATGACGACCTCGGGTGCGCGCAGAGTCCTTGGAGTCACTTTCGAGACGACCTTTTGGGCGACGATTTGCGCTGAGAGGAGGTCAGTAGACGGACGACATGCCGACACACCAAATGGACTGCACCCACCACTCCCAAAATCGCATAGCATGAAGGACCCTGAGCCGGACAGAGCCTGCTCCATCATCGGCGGGGGCAATGGCTGCGAAACGGCCGCCTCGATGAAATAGTCCCAGCTTTTTTCGGGTGGGTGGCGCCGAGGCGGTGTCGCAGCGAGGGAAGCGCGTAGCTTCTCCTCCGTCGTGAGGTCGGGGAAGTTGCACACGATGTTGCTCGCTTTCAGATCTGACCCCTCGCGTCCAACAAATAAATTCCAAAACGCCGTGGGAAGGCTCACCCGTGTGCACGCAGCCCGACGCATGCAGCTGGGCCAGTCCGCGAAGGGAGTCGCGCAAGATACGCTGCACCAGCTTCGGCGGGAGTACTGTCCTCCCTGCTGCGAGTCGCAGTGCCTCGACGTCGCCCGCGAAGACGTCCATGACCAGGCAGAGATGGTCCCCGTCGTTCGGCTTGCCGGGCTGGATGAAATGCGCGAGGAGGGGCGTACAGTACACGGGCTGGCGCGCGCGTTTGACGAGCTGCGTGACGCGCTGCAAGATGGGCAGCTCGTGGATGTATCCTTGGTAGTACAGGTCCGTGGTCAGCCCTTTGAGCGCCTTGACCGCGACGTAGCGCGCGTTTCTGCGATGATCATGAGGATTCACCAAGTTCCCTTTCAGCTTGGGCTTTAAAATGAAAATTCACATACACATGATCCCGCGCGAGCCACACACTCGCCTGTGTAATCTCAACAATGAGTACGGACAGTGACTGAATAGCGCGTCGCGCGCCGCTCACATTCATCCCCCACCCCAACTTCCGCAGAATCTCATACCGCCCCTCAGGCCCGATCCGCACTCCGAACTCAACCTGCATATACCCGTAGCCCTGGTCGGCGCGGAGACCGAGCGGCTCTTCCACAAACGTCAGGTCGACAAGCTCCATGTTAGGGTCATCACAGGCAGAGGGCGGAGCATGGTCAATCACGAGAGGATATCGTCGCCGTTGAGAAATATTTAAATAGTTGTTGCGAAAGAGCGTGGAAGGATACGAGGCGAGTCGCGCCCTTGAAAAAGCATACGAAAGCATGAAGATAGGAGTAAAGTCACAGTCACGGTCACGATACCGGTCCGTGATGATCCGACTACAAATTTGCTACAAACATCTCGTATCTTTTTCAACAGAGGCCATTTAAATCCCGGCAAAACACGTCGTCGTCGGGTGCGATGAAAAACCTTTCTACTGAAGGAGCATGCCTCGGGAGGAATCGAACCTCCGTCTCCCCCATTCGAATTTCGCATCAGGAGGCCTCCAGGGCCTACGACGGCTTATTTATCTCTTTTGGGTTTGTGGGTTTAAATTATGCAATTAATTATTGGGGCCTGGCTCTAGAGGGGACAAAGAGAAATTTGAAAGCTCCAGCAGCTGTACACCGCCGGAAGGACTCTAACCCCCGTCTGCCTCATTTCAGCTTTTAGTCCCGTGTGAATTGTGAGGTGCGGCCACCATGGCATACGACAGATCGAGTTAAATCTTTGCTAACAGGAAATTATAAGAATTCGCTGGGTCCGAGAGACTTTAAACAGTGAACTGGAACCCCGGATTTTGACTTTGAGCTACATAGATCGGTAAGTAATTCGTGCTCACCAGGCGCACACCTAGTCTCTCATAGACAGACGCTACAACAATATTGGTGCTCGTGCCTCGCATGTTGTAGTCTGTTGATAAGGTCGATCGCGCGATCGGTGGCCTGCTTATTACAAATCACAACCGTAATTTGGATGCTGGTATGCATTCCAGAGCGTGTTCTTCACAAATCTGAAGTCCCAGTAGCATTTACTAGCATAAACTGAGCAACTTCTCCTCCCAACTCCCGGCGGCAGAGCTCAAGAATCAAAAGTTCGAACTTTGATGGTTCAACGGATGACCAATCCTGACATAATCTACCTCTTTATTCCTCGACAATGGACCTCAAAAAATAGAATTCGAGGAGCTATTATGGATCAGAAATGGAGTTTCATATGCTTTCTCTCTGGAAGTTTGAAGATGGGGGTCTTGGAAGTGCTAAATAGGCATGGGAAGAATTCAAACTCCGATGATTTGTAATAACGCGGCCACCTATACACGGTGGCGCGGTTAACAACAGACTAGCGCTCCCATTGACCGGGAAAAGAATAACCATGGTACTCGCATCTCGCACGCAAAGCCGACGCAAAAAACATTTTCACCGAAGGATCATGTCGTAGGGAGGAGTCGAACCTCCGTCTCCCCCTTTCAAATTTTACGTTTCTGGCGTCTATAACTTCGCGGTGGAGGCTGGCTGCGACGGTACTCTCTAAATGAGTGAGCCAACCTAGTGCCCTCGCCGGGATACAAAGGCGGCAGAGGTATCACAGATGTTGGGTAACTTCCGTAGCTTGATAGACTACGAGATTTTTCTTCATTCGGAGGAAAGGTTGTGGATAAAAGGACAGGACTGAAGCGGAAGTAACTCTGAGACTTGGGACAACCCACGGCAACAAAAAAAAAAGAGAGGCAATTCCGGCAGATGCCGTCGGGAGGAATCGAACCCCATCTCCGAATCGAACGGAAGCGTTTTTACATGGTAGGGGCGGTAACCATGTCCCACGACGGCTTCATTTCTATGACACTAGGTGAGATAAGGTGGGATTCACGTAGGGAGTCCAACCCGGCCTGACTGTATATGGAGCATTCAAATGAAAATGGAAATGAAATCAACTCGAGACTCGACTCGCAATAAACCCAAACCCAAAAATTCAACATAATCCCTGATGCCGTCGGGAGGAATCGAGCACCCCGTCTCCCTAATCAAATTGTGTAGCTACAGGCACCACTTGGTAAGGGTGGCCACCATGGCCCACAACGGCTTCAATTAAATCTTCGCTAACCAGGATAGGTAGGGTCCAGGGAAAGAGAGTTACGGGCTTGAAAGTAAACCTGCCTGTATTTTGGCTCTGAGTTAAATCAGCCAGTAATTCGTACTCAGCGCTCACCACGCGCCCCAGACCTGCGCTGACCGGGAAAATAATTAACCATGCGCCTCACATCCCGCACGAATGACAAAATCAGGGCAAAAAAGATCCACATTGGAAGATGCATGCCACCGGGAGGAATCGAACCCCCGCCTCCCTCATTCCAGTTGACAACTCACTGCGCCAGGTTTGGAGGGCGGCCGTCATGGCCCACAACAGCTTCATTTCCTTGATACTAGGTGAGATAAGGTGGAAGGTGAGTCCTGACTGAGAGGAACAGAAAATGGAAAACCCACTATTTATGAACAGGTCGCGGAGATCACGATTGTCACCTCCGAAGTTGGAGGCAAAAATAAAATAAACCACGCCACCACGATGCTGAGTCTGCACGAGCGGGAAAAAACCAGCGCCAAAAAGAAAAAGAAAAGAAAAAAAAACATCTGTCAAAGATTGAATGCCGTTGGGAGGATTCGAACCCCATCTCCCCAGTTAAATGGACGCGTAGACATTTCTACCTGGTAGGGGCGGCCACCATAGCCTACGACAGCTTCATTTCCTTGATACTAAGCCACTGGTGAGATAAGCTTAGGGAACTCGAGTCCTGACGGAGAGGAACAGAAAACGTATTGAAAGCGAACATTTCCACTGGTTACCGTGACTGGAGAACGAACTGGGCAAGGACTATGCTCTGCTAGATAACCAAGTCGCGGAGATCGTGATTCTCACCTTGAGGTTGAAAGCCAGAATGAAGCCCGGTACCACGATGCTGAGTCTGCACGAGTAGGAAAAAAAACCAGTGCGAAAAGAAAAGAAAAAAAACGTCTGTCAAAGAGCACATGCTGTCGGGAGGATTCGAACCCCCTGTCCCTCATTCCAAATTGTTTTCACGACGCTTAAATTGGGAGGTGGCCACCATGGCCCACGACGGCTTCATTTCCTCGATCCTCACTGGGATATACTATGGGGGCCATGGGGTTCAATTAGGATTTCCCCAACCCGGTCCCAAACGCATCCTGACTGTCACTAGAAACAGATTATGCAAAAAAATAAAATGGAAATGAAAAATTAAATGAAATGAACTCGACAATCAGACTCGAAACCCAGAACCAAACGCTGAACCAAAAAAGAAAGGCAAAAAAAGAAAGGCAGAAAATCCCAAACATGCCGCCAGGAGGATTCGAACCCCCCGTCTCCCTCTTTAATATTCCAGCCTCTACCTCGTTGTTAAATTCGGGAGGGCGGCCACCATGGCCCACGACGGCTTCATTCCCTTGAATCGTGACTCGGAGTCGATGCTCACTAAGAGCTGAAAGGTACGAGCCCGAGGTGATTGTATTGATTTGATGGCGCATCAGCGAGGCGAGTGATGGCGCATCAGCGCGACGTTTAGACGTTTATATTACACGCCCGCTCTAGTTCGAAATCCACGGTCAATCCAATTTTGGTGTTGATTGTACGAGTAAAGGTGGCCGCCAGATGTGAAGAGGCAATAGAGATACTAAGACGTAATAAAGATAGGACCTGTTCCATCCGAGTCGATATCCCTTGCTTGAGCATTGAAAGTTTGAAGCTGGAAAAAAACTTCCCTCACACGCGTTTCATGAGCTCAGAGGCAATTTGTAAAATTAACTGCGACTACACGGGTACGCGCGTCCTAAACTAAATTAAAAATTACTCGTATTATTATCGTGTCGTATGTAAGGTTTCATCGCGATACGATATGGTGGGTCATCGCGGTATAACGAGAAAAGAGCGAGCGGAAAGGAAAGAGGGTGGTACAAGATGAACGAAACGAGCGAGCGAGTGGTGGGGCAAGAAGTACAGTGTCAAGATAATTAGTCAACGGAGGGGGGAAAGGCGAGCTCGGGCGGTGGGGCCATGCGCGCCGCGTGCCTGTGCGACTCGAAGTGGGGACGGGGTAGGTGGGAGGGGGTACGTCTGGGCTGTGGGGGCGCGTGTGAGGTTTGACGTCGTTGGGCCGAGCTCGAGGGGAGGAGAATACGCAGTTGGAGGCGCAACGCAGGAAGAAGGAGGAGAGGGAGGCGGCGGCGTCGAACACCGCGCCGGGACAAACGACGAGGGGCGCGAGAGAGAGGGAGATGGGGGCGGGGTGGGGAGTTGTTCGCGGTCTGGGCCTGCGTCGAGGTAGAGGTAGACGCCTGAATCCTCCGCTTCTGCTTCTCTTTCGTCCTTTCGTCCCTCCCCCACCTCGCGCTCCTCGGTCGTCGGGACCCGACCCCGCACACGCGTCCGACGTGCCCTCGCCCCCGTCCCCGCCCTCCATCCCTGACCGCGTCGCGGCGTAGCAGACGTGTCTATCCCCCAGAAGCAGATGTGGAACCAGCGCCGCCAGAACGCAACCACCTCGCCGGACTCCCCCTAAAATAATGGTGCGTCCCCGGCAGGGCCTCGCACGAGCGGTGCACGACACAGACGGCGGCTTTCGCGAAGGGGTCTGCGTCTGGGTTGGGGTGGGGGTCGTAGGCGGCATGGCCAACTGGACTTGCGGTTGGAGCTGGGCCGAGAGCAGAGTCCCGCGTGACGACGCTCCACGGGCAGTCGTAGGGCAGCGCGGAGTAGGAGTAGTACGGCGGGACAGTGTTGTAGGGCACAGGCATAGGAAGACTCGTCAGAGGCAGATGAATCATGAGGCAAAGAACATCGACGCGGTGGGCGAGGGCTGGGTGTGGTTCGAGTCGGATCTCAACGCGCAGCCAGAGGACGAGGGTTCGGGGGATGCGCGGTCGCCAGAAGGGAAAGAAGGAGAAGGAGACGCACAGACGAAGCCGGAGGGGTACGAGCCCGGCGAGGGGCGTGAACAGCGAGTCGCATTCGGCGGCGCTGCAACTTGAGTTCTGCTTCCGTTTCGGGCGGAGTCGGGATCCACTGCGGTGACGCACGGACGCGGACACGGCTCGCAATCGCTGTCACAAGTGGGTCATTTTTTGCATTTTTGGGGCACTACTTTCCAAGTACTTTCATGCTAGTATGACCGCTTCCGTATCTTGTGTCTCCACAAGGTCAATTTTTCAGAAACGGCAATTTATTTTATTCCGGAACATCGGGATGGGTATGGCATAGCTTAAACGATGCCTAAGCTCCTGAAATCGCTCATACTTCATGCCAGTATTTTATTTGAAGTGATTCGGTCCAGAGATGACCTCAAACAAGGCCGGCAATTCTTTCTGTAAGTGAGATAAGCTGGGATTCAATTACCGATCCCCACCGGACGCGAGAGTCGACTAAAAAAAATCAACACTATGATAAGTGATACCGTCGGGAGGATTCGAAACCCGGTCTCCCTCATTCCATTTCCAACACATAAACCATGGCCCACAACGACTTTATTTCCTTAATACTAAGCTGGAATTGTAGTAGCGAGCCCAACCCGAACGAGTCGACCCAAAAAAAAAATCCATGTCCATAACATGCCGTCGGGAGGAATCGAACCCCCATCCCTCTTTAATATTCCATTTCTGCCTCTTCCAATTGGGAGGTAGCCACCATGGCCCACGACGGCTTTATGACTTTATTCCGCTCACCGGGATATGGTGGAGTTCAAGTACGGAGCCCACTGCATGGAGAGTCGACCCAAAAAGAATTCAACGCCCCTTTTATGCTGTCAGCAGGAATCGAACCCCCATGCCTCTTTGCAATTTCTGTCACACTCAAATTGGGAGGTGGCCACTATGCATGGCTACGACGGCCTTATTTGATTTGTTTACTCAATCATAAATGAGCGATCGACAAACGCACAAGCAGCTTGTATGTTGAAAAACTCGGCTTGATTATTATAGACTATGTTCGAGATTTATTTCCATTCGCAGGGAAAGGCGGTGAAAAAGCGGAACGCACCGGGATGTTGAAGCGGAAGCAACGCCGAACGCCAAGGCAAAAAAGAAAATCGAAAAAATATGTTCATTCTGCGTTATGCCGTCGGGAGGAATCGAACCTCCATCTCCCCAGTCAAATTGAACCGGTATCACGTACTTGGTAGGAGCGGCAACCATGGCCACGACGGCTTCATTCCATGACACTAGCAAATAAGGTGGATTGACGTAGCGAGCCCAACCCGGCCTGACTGGATATGGAGCATTCAAATGAAAATGGGAATAAAATCAACTCGACTCGCACAAACCCATGATTCAAACATTCAACACAATCCCTGATGCCGTCGGGAGGATTCGAATCTTCATTCGGAAGAAAGGTTGTGCATAAAAGGACAGGACTGGAGCGGAGGTAACTCTGAGACTTGGGGCAACCCACGGTAACAAAAAAAAAAAGGAATTCAGTTCCAGAAGATGCCGTCGGGAGGAATCGAACCCCACCTCCCCAATCAAATGGAGGCACTGACGTTTTACTTGGTAGGGGCACCATGGCCCACGACGGCTTCATTTCCATGACACTAGGTGAGATAAGGTGGATTCCTGTAGCGAGCCCAACCCGGCCTGACTGGATATGGAGCATTCAAATGAAAATGGAAATAAAATCAACTAGAGACTCGACTCGCAACAAACCCAAACCAAGAATTCAACACAATCCCTGATCCGTCGGGATGAATCGAGCACCGTCTCCCAATCAAATTGTGCAGTACAGGAATCACTTGGTAAGGGTGGCCACCATGGCCCACAACGGCTTCAATTAAATCTTCGCTAACCAGGATAGGTAGGGTCCGGGCTTGAAAGTAAACTTGCCTGTATTTTGGCTCTGGAGTTAAATCAGCCAGTAATTCGTGCTAAGCGCTCACCACGCGCACCAGACCTGCGTGACCGGGAAAAAATTAACCATGCGCCTCACATCCCGCACGAATGACAAAATCAGGGCCAAAAAACTTTATCCTAGAGGATGCATGCCATCGGGAGGAATCGAACCCCCGTCTCCCTCATTACAATTGATCAGCTTCAGCAAATTGGGAGGGCGGCCACCATGGCTACAACGGCTTTATTTACTTTATTTACTCCATTCAAAAGGTATGGTCGAAGCCCTAACCTAGTGTGCGCCCACCCGGGATACAGAAGCGGCGGAGCGTCATAGATGTTGCGTCTGATCAGAGCTTGATAGACTACGATTTTTCTTCGTTCGCAGGAAAGGTTGTACAAAATGTGCAAACATTCAAAGCACTCAAATGCTGAACTCAAGGCTTGAAACTTGAAGAAGCACATGGCAAAAAAACAAAACGGAAGATGGTTTCCGCAGATGCCGTCGGCAGGATTCGAACCCCCATCTCCCAATCAAATGGGACAGAAACCACATACTTGGTAGGAGCGGCCGCCATGGCCACGACAGCTTCATTTCCTTGATACTAGGTGAGCTAACCTGGAACTTTGTAGTCTCGAGAGAAAGGAACAGAAAACCGAACCCACGATTTTTTGCCAGGCAAACAAGTCGCGGAGATCACGATTCTCACCTCCGAAGTTGGAGGCAAAAATAAAATAAAATAAAAGAGCCACGCCACCACGATGTTGAGTCTGCACGAGCGGGAAAAAACCAGCGCCAAAAAAAAAAAAAAAATCTAACGTCGACAGAATGCCGTCGGGAGGATTCGAACCCCCTTTCCCTCATTCCAGTTTTTTCCATCCATCCCAAATTAGGAGATAACCACCATGAGCACGACAGCTTCATTTACTTCATTCCGCTGACCGGGATATGGGGGCCATGGGGTTCAATTAGGATTTGCTTAACCCGGTAGACATCCTGACTAGAAACGGAGCATCCAAAAAATAAAATGAAAATGAAATGAAATGAACGCGACCCGACAGTCAGACTCGAAACCCAGAACCAAACACTGAACCAAAAACAAAAACAAAAAAGACAGGTGAAAAATGGGAGAACTTCCGAACCATGCCCATGCCGTCGGGAGGATTCGAACCCCCGTACCTCCTTCCACTTCCTGGACACATAATATAAATTGGGAGATGGCCACCATGGCCTACGACAGCTTCATTTACTTCATTCCGCTGACCGGGATATGGGGGCCATGGGGTTCAATTAGGATTTACCCAACCCGCTCCCAAACGCATCCGACTAGAAACAGAGCATGCAAAAAATAAAATGAAAGCGACCCGACAATCAGACTCGAAACCCAGAACCAAACACTGAACCAAAAAAGAAAGGCAAAAAATGGAAGAAATTCCAAAGCATGCCCATGCCGTCGGGAGGATTCGAACCCCCGTCGCCCTCATTCCAATTTTCCTACTTTCCTCTACAAATTGGGAGGGTGGCCACCATAACCCACAACAGCTTCATTTCCTTGATACTAGGT